CAAGGTGGTGCGCCTTTGTGCGTTCTACAGGGGCGAGCTACGAACTATGGTAGCAATAATTGCAGCTAGTATGGCTGTCGCGGGCTCAAACAAGATTCGGCGATGCCACTACCTTGGCACTTCCTGTCTTTTTCTATCTCTTCTGGATAATCGGACTGTTGTGAATACTCGGTCTGCTACTGTGCTGCCTTCACTGATGTTGCGTTGTCTTCACTGTTGTTACTAGAGGCTGCCAGACAGTTTCTCCGAATATTACCACTATTGCGGCTACAATTACATTTTGTTGTCTCGCCTTACTTTTGTGGCTACAACAGCCACCATTCGACATGTAGCCATCTGCCTTGACCTTCTGGCTGTTTCCAAGATTTCCACGGCCGCTACTCTCGTTGCTACTGGTATTAGTCCTCTAGCAACTGCCCCACGAATACTTCTCTGACCTTTCGAAAAAGCTGCTCTTTGTTTTGAGTGGGTGTTCTGTACTACTTACTGTTTCCAGCTATCCCTGCTAAGCATGCCATCGCTCTTGTACACGTGCTACGGTTACTGCAAGTGATTCTTGGTCAGTGCAACTGATTCTTGGTCTTACAGTACTACGACCACTACTATCTTCACGAGGGATCAGCGGCCTTACCACGGATCCGCAGCTTGGGGGACTTGACATCCCAAGGCCATTCTGCTCCGTTGTCGAGCAAGCACCTTCGGCGCTTTAGGCTTTCGGGCTTGGGGTTAGGGTCTGGCGCTTGGGGTTTAGGTTTAGGCCTGGTTCTGCACTCCTGGGTTGGACTTAGGCCTGGCTCAAATCCTTCAAACCCTAAACCGTCCAGCATCCCAAACTCACATCCGAGGAAATGCAAGCAGCACGGGAAGCGAAAACAACGGTCGGCCAATTGCTGCTCAACAGTCTGTCTAGAGGGTCGCTTCTCGTCCGCAGCATGGTACTACAAAGATTTGCAGCAGTAGCGTCTCAGCTCGAACCCTGCACAACTACGACGCCCTTCGCCTTTCTTTCGAGTTGACACGAACTCCAGGACATGCTTCAAGATTCCACCACTCCCCCCTCGCGCTTACACCCAAAGGCAGCCGTGGCACTTCGTGATGTGGAACTGCTGCTGCTCTGCTGCATACATCACGAGGGGCTTGCCGTCGATGGTTTGGTTCATCTGGCGACGGCAGAGCGCGAACGCTGCATTATCTGAACACAACATCGAAAACCCCAAAGCCGAGCAGTCAAAGCGCAGCTCCAAGATAGGGTCTGTTTGAGAATGGGCTGGGAAGGCTCACAAACTGCGAGGCCCCCTGAACTTCAAAGCTCCAAGTCCACCTGGGTAGCTGTCAAAATTATGGTCCCTAATTGGGTACCCTAAATAATAGGTGCCGTACTATAGTAGGGACCCTAAAAGGGACCATACATTTTGACAACCACCCACCTGTGCACCGTTCTTCTTCAGGTGGTGGATGGCGCCCTCGGCACGAGCGAAGAATCGAAGCGCAGGGCCCGAAAAGCAGACGAAAGTGTTAGGTTAGACGAGCGATCTGATAGAGCTACTTAGTGACTTAGTAGGGGTTTAGGGTTTAGGGTTTGGGGTGCTACTTACATCACATCTTGGAAAACCCTAGGCATTTTGCAATGAAGCCGGCATTCATGGCTGCTTGTGTCTTCTATGAGGAGTTTTGGGCCTGTCGGAATCACCCAAAGAGCCTCCAAACTCCAAACGTCCTTGCAGACAAGGCTCGAATTGGCCACCGCCTGACCCACATAAGGCGAAACTGCACACAGACTGTTGGATCAGGCCTTTCGGCCTTGAAACCCACGCTTAAACTTTCGGTGCCGAGCACGAAGCGAACTTAAGATCCAGGATATCTGAATGTGCCGGCGTTCGCGCTGTTCATCCTGAAATCGCTCCTACAATCCCAGATCGTTCAGTTTGATGCTTGTGGCTCACCCTGCCAAGCGCTGGTCCTAAGCCTTTTCAGGTACGGCTTCGACCAATGCCTTCGCAGGCAACATAGATGGGCGGTAGGCCCCGCTTGTTGGGCACGCTCGGATCTCCACCCAGCTCCTTGATGATGCGAGTGAGTCCTACAGGCGATAACTGCTGCCTGCGAGTGACACTTTGAGTTTGGGATGATTGGGAAACCTTCCCGACATCATCACCACGACCATGAATTTACGGGCAGATGCATCCTCGAGAACACACGCCAATGTCCTTCATCAACTCCCCAGTAGGCCGCTTCTTGGACAGTGGTGCCACCACGATCGCCGCATGCTTGCTTGTTGACCTTGCTATGAAGTTCAGCACAGCATGCTGTGTGTATTGAATTGTGCATGCACCAGGTGTGTCCTATGCGACGACTAAGTTGCTCACAGATCCTCCCATTTTGACGAGCTCCTGGAGCACTTCGAACTGGAAAAACTTGCTGCCAGCCTGTCAGAGTGGTGAGACACCGAAAACCGGGGTCTCCGCGAATGCGTCGCAGGGCAGCTTGTAGAACACCAAACCGTAGGAGCACCAGCAAAAGCAGTGAGGTGCTGCTGACAACAGCCCAGTTTTTCCGGAAACCCCTTGCCTCACAGACGGCCAAGTCGATGTCGTTGGCACGGTCGTTAAGGAAGATCTCTGCCGCATGCCTGTGGCGAATGGCCTGATGCTCAAGCTCGCAAATCGAAGTGGGAGTTTAAGGCTCTTTTTGAACCAACCGCTGCCTGTCTCAACTGAGGCACCCTGATTCGCAACTGCAAAGACCCTGCAGAGCACATGGAAAACTCCCATGGGGCTGTCCTCACCCACCTTTGTGGATTCGCCCCTGACTGCCTGCCGCTTCTTCCAGGGGCAGGGATTTCCAGCAGCTGCAGTTTGGAAGCTTGCGACAAAGAGCTGCACAGAAGGCTTCGACAGGCAACAACCGGCTGGTGCCTCGAGCAACTGCTTTTCGGCAGACTCCAGGTCTTCAGGCGAGATCGTGGGGCCAACCGGCGCTTTGCCTGCGCTTCATTGGCCATGACCGCCCTGTAAAGCCTCTCACCACCGAGTCACACTCTGGGTGCTGCCAGGAGTCTCTTGTTGTGTAAATCGATCAAGGCGTCAATGGCGACAGCCTGACCAATTGCAGGCTGAGTTCTGCCTTCACTGACACATGCACGGACAAAGTCTAGGCTCTAGACACATGGTGCAGGAAACGACTGCTGTCAACTCATAGTGCATGGGTTCGCTTGTCCGACTCAGATTCCCGCAAGTTGACACTCCTAAAAGCCATCAACGTTCCAAGTTTTGAGTTGCATCCCGCCTCCTGCAAGCGTCTCGACACAGGCTCCGACATCTTGGACCGAGGAAGAGTCTCCAGAGTCCCACCGGCCTCTTGACCGTTTAGGGCTTTGAGTGTTAGGGTTTATTGTTTAGACTTGCGTTCAAGCATCACGCACTTGCCGTCTCAGCAGGTTTCAGGGTTTTGGGGCGGTCTGTCCAAGCTCCTTCTTAGCAGAGATGTAGGCTCAATTCGACGAAGGCACAGATCATGCGTTCATATGTACCTCGCAGCATGTAGCTACGTACTCTGCTCGTCTCCTCATGCTGAAAGTTAATATGCACTCACCAGTTTTCAAAGGAAGCCCTACATTATCTCTACCTGCTGTGTTGTTGGGAGTTCGAGGGTTCTTGCTCCAAGGACTGCCCCGAAGCGCCGTGCCTGGAGGGTATGCAGCATCATCGCTGCAGATGCCAGGACCTAAGTGGGACGGTGAATGGATGTCAGAGGTGTACAGGGTTATGCTAGGTCCTGGGTCTTAGCATCCGAATACCAAGTTTGGGTGAGCCCAAGTAACACGGCAGCTGCAATGTCTTCATACCCCATCGTGGAGACTCAGATCCCATGCTAGGGGGCACCCTGAAGACCCGATCTAGCCCAGCCACCAGAGGCACTCTTGCAAGCTGCCAGCATCGCGATGGGTAGGACGCTCCTGTGGCTTGTGGGCAGGGTGGGGCGGGGGGGGCGGCGCTGATGCCGGTCCGAGTTCACGAAGGGCTTACAGTCAGAGGTTTCGGGGCCGGTCTGAGTCAGGGCGTCATGTTGCAGAGCAGCGGAAACATGTACGATTTGACGTTAAACGAGCGCGGACTTGAGATCCTGCCTGTCTCCGCTGCAGAGTCATCTGAACGAGCTCTTTGCATCGCCTCAGTATCCGAATGCTTGCAACGCGCATCGAGCTTCGCAGATCTGCATCCGCTTGGGCGCTGGCCGATGCGGCGTGCGGTGCCACTTGGCTGCCCTAAAGGATCTGCCCCATAAAGGCACGAGCAGGCTTCGCAACGGTGCTAAGGCTTTGTCTTGCACACTTTTGCCGCAAGTGCGCGCTGCACCCTCCTGCAAAAAAGACTTTCGGCTCCAGATGCCAGAATCTAGGGACTAGGAAACCCTAAACCCCAACAGCTGCCTAAAGGCTGCTGAGCCATAGTCAGCAGCAAAGCTCCACGGCTGCACAAGGGGCGCATGAATCGCATGAACGACCAGACACTGTCATCAACGTCAAATCCCGGAAGCCCTTGCAAACCTGGGCCAAGAAACTGACAAGCCAGTATACCAGAGTTAACACATGTACGACAAGAAGCAGTCCTCAAACCCAAGGACCCCGAAACCCTAAGCTAACCCCTAAACTTTTGAACCTCGTACGCATCAAACGCCACGGAAGCCCCCATGGAACCCAACCCCACCCAAGACTCGGAGCCTCAGCGCCTTCAACAAAATCCTCGAACCCTCCAAACCCTAAGCCCCGTGCAGCATACGAATGGCTTTTGTTCTTTCATATGGTGACTTACAAGACCAGTGACCGGAACACTAAACCCCCAAACCCTAAACCCTAAACCCCTAAACTTAACCCTAAACCTCTACACCCCTAAACTTAACCCTAAACCTCTAAACCCCTAGACTTAACCTTAAACTTCTAAACCCCTAAAGCCCTAAACCCTCCAAGCGAAGCCCTGAATCGAAGATGTCTACACTCTCGCCTCGTCTCCGTCTCTTGAAGCCATGCCGGCCGAGTGCCGAGCACCTGCTTTTGCAGCTTATGGGGCATAGTCTTGGGATATTCTTGGGATTTAAAGATTTAGAATTTCGGACTTAGGGTTTAGGCTTTAGAGGCTTTCAAGTTCAGGATGTAGGGGCTGTTGGGAATCTTAGGGCTTGCTATGCAGGCCTTGGGTCTACAGGCCCGACCGCCTCCATCCGATCCAAGATCCCTACATGCCACCTACACCCGATCTCGACGGGCCAAACGTTGAATCATTCTAGTCTAAGACTAAGAAACACACCCCGACCTACCGGTTGCGCTGAGTATCCCAAGGCCCGATAGCGTAAACACCCCAAACCTAAAAGCACAAACTGACAAATTCTGACACCCGCCGAGGGGAGAGAACTGGACTCCGGATGCACTTGGCTCTGACACGAGGCCCACCTGCTCATCCCAGCTCGCTGCCGATGCACCTGAGGCGACCGTGGTCTCAGGCCGGCTCTGTCGGTACTGCTTCTTCCATCTTAGCCTTTGCCAGGCAAGCAGTCACGGGCAAAGCTCCGGGGTTATGCTGCAGGGCTTCGCGCTACCCAACCCTTCGCCGCCCGCTATACTCAGTTAGGGCCTGCTGAAGCGAGCATCACGAAGTGGAGCTCGGCGGGAAGCGGCATCTGCACCGGATCCGTTTAAGGTTCCAGGATTTAGGGTCACTTGAGACCAAATCCACCAAATCATCCCTCAGGCACCTATATCACCATCTAACACTTTCACAGAGCTTGCACAACGCGAGTGGAACAATCTGTACACTCTAGATGAAGGACGACTCAGGACACAATGTGGAGAAAACATCACTACGACAGAGCAATATTCTGAAATAGCAGGTTTGCAATTCCCAAACATAGCCAAAACGTGCACCAACATGAGAGTGCAAGTGTATGAAACCCTGTTTGTCGCATTCAACACCATTCCAATGTGCAGACAATCATCATACTCACGGAAGTCGGCGTCGTCAGGATTTTTCACAATCATCGGAGTACGTAGACTAACAGAGATGCCTGCAATAACCTACGACATGGAGCTCATCAATTCCGAATATCAATTCTCTCTGCAACGTATACGACCTTCACCGCACTGGCTCACTCTTTGTCCAAGGCTGTCTGGGAGAGAACACATTGCTTTCAGCTCAAGGCTTACCCGAAGATCGGTTGGAGTATCAGCTCAGAGAAGCGGATCAGCACAATGCGGCGATCGGGTCAGGGAAATCGGCTCAGAAGGCAGTGCTGTTTTGCACTGGTTTTGTGGGAAGTGCAAGACGTGTTTACGGGATGAAGTCTGAAGAAATTTGACGGCATGAATAGATGAATTTCATCGCCTACGAGGGCCAAGGCTTCTTCCACCTCTGGTGCATGACTCCGGCCAAGAGCTCATCTTTGAGATATTCCGAGGGTTCGGGGCTCAGTAGTTCTGATCCTGTGCTGCGATCCGATTGGCCATGCCGATTCCAGGGACTGATTCGAACCCTGTCCGAGCTGACTCCTGCAGCTTCCCCCGCAGATCCTAGCCCTGCGCCTGCTTCAGCAAGGAGGATGCGAAAGCCAGCTCTGCCACCTTCATGCGGGTGCCGACTGGGTCTTCAGACTCTCAAGGCAGACAGAAAGAAACACAACACAGAGATGAAGGATCCTGCCTCCCCGGGGTTGAAGACGAAGACCTCGGCTGCAATGCAAAGGAAAGCATGGAGGGACAAGCGTGGGTTGCAATGTAACGGGACCGTGGAGCAAGAAGCAAGGGCCAACAACTCCGAGCAAGCTTGCTCACAGACCCTGGATGTCGTAGCATGACGGCTGCAGCTTTTCATTTCCACAGCTAAGCAACGTCAGACTGCCGCAATCTTGTCTCAACAACAAGCACGAAGGGAACGCCTTCCCCATGCTCAACTCCACCCATGACCCCCTGAAAATGCGTGGAAAACAACGTCCGGATGCGTGCAAGAGGCGATGTTGTAAAGAGGCAGTCGTATGGGCGACAGGCCTGTCAGCCGGCGGGGTGGAGTCGGGGCCTTAAAGCTTTAGCCTTCGCTCAAGAACGTTCCAAAAGCCCACGAGCAGGCTTAGGCTTAGCACTAGGGCTCTGGGACATTATGGGACATGGAGCCGGGCCATGGGAGTTGCGAACCTCCATGACGAATGGCGTGTTTCAGCGCATCCGAGCGTCGAGCCCCCGAAGCCGAAGAAGAGGCTTCGCAGGGAGCTGCTCCAGCGTTGCGTTTCGCGATCCTTCTGCCGGGTAGTTTGGAGCTTGGGCTCTTTAAGTCTTTGGAACCCTCCAGTCACGTTCGGACGTTCGGATAGGGTACAGTATGGTACAGTTACTACAAGCAGGGACACAAGGCCTTCAAGGTGCCACAACGCTGCATGATCTCTACCACCCGGTATGTAGTGCACCCTCTACGTCTAGTTAAAGATCCCCAAATCGGTGCCTTCATCACAGAGTACAGCGAGGGCGGAAGAGTCTTCGAGCGCCAGTCCTGCAGCTGCGCTAGAGGCACCACAAAGTCTCGGATTCACGAATGTCTTTGTGCAAAGAGGTGCACGTACGAGAGTATGCACAGGCGTATGCGGCGTATGCCTGCGCATCAGCATTGCATAAGTTAAGCGATATCAGAAACAGTCCTTGCTTCATGAGGGACTAGAGCAATTACCCAGACCAAAGAAGGAAGGCTGGGGAGAAACCCCTCTGACCCCATGGAACCTGGCGCCTTCCTGCCACGTGTGGCCGGCTTTCGGATCCCAGCGGCGTGCTCACATCTGGAAGTGTTGACAAGAAGTTCTGCGTGCGATTCGATCTTTGTTGCTACTTTGTGTTCCTGTCGCATAGAGCGCAGGGCGCGCACCCGACGTCCGACCATGTGAGGTCACCTTCTACATCCCCGAGCTGCCTCCTCGTCTAGGATGCACTCTCACTTTTTGACGCCCCCGGCCCCGGATGGACAAGCTGGGGCTTCAAAGCTTAGCTTTCAAGCTAAGCTCAGCATGGCTCAGCTGTGCTGGTTTGTTCGATCCAAGCACGGGTGTGCTCATACTAGCTAACCAGCTAGACTAGCTAGGCAGGTACACATGTAGTGCATAATTGCACACCTATGTCCCTGACGCGCCAGCTCGGTGGAGCAGAATCATATCCATGTTTAGTGCTCACCCTCAGCCACGTTCACAGACATGGAGCCACTCAATCACACACACCCACGCAGCATGACAACCAAGCGCAGTCCACACGGCCAGCTGCTTTCCCACTGCCCTTCACTTCCTCACAAGGCTGCACATCTGCTATGCACTGATTGACTTACCTTGGGTAAGTAGGGAATGTAGGAATGGGGTACAATTACAACTACTATTACTACCTGTCTGCCATTCCCTACTAACCAAAAGTAAGTTGAAGTGATTGAAGTGTAAGTTATGGGAGAAGCTGTTGTGGCCCCAGCCTTGAGAATTTCGCATGCCACCTTCTCGGGGACACCAAGGCCTCAGCAACCGCAAAGTAGCACCCATATCGGGGTCCTCATAATAAGGATCCTACTCTTTAGGGTACTATACCGGGGTCCCCTGTTTTCGGAGATTCCCATATTTCACAACGTCTTTGTAATATAGTACACACTGATACGCAGAACACCGATTGACTGCTAGATTGTCCTGTCGGAGCATACCTTCACCTCTCCGAGACATCTGGGCTCCCAGCGCACGAGCCTCTCGACGCCCACGAAGAAGGGATGTAGAGTTTCCATCTGCAGCCAGCTGACATGCTTTCTTGCTCCACTTGTACCAGAAGCGAAGGCAGGCCGCGGCTACGTCTGACTTGCAATCCGACGCCGAGGGTCACTCCAGGATGGAGCCCGGAAGGACTCCTAAACCCTAAACCCCTAAACCCCTAAACCCCTAAGCCCCTAACCCCAACCCCGAAACCCTAAACCCTAAACCCCTTAACTCAAAACCCTAAACCCTAAATCCCGGCGCCGGGCCAGTGGGAACAGGGAGAGGTCCGAGTGGTCAGGTCGAACGAGGCGCCCGTTCATGCTGAAAACCTGCGGCTTGGGGCTTTATGGTTTAGGCTTTAGAAGTTCGAGAAAGGCCCCGATCTTGAGAATTACTGGAGCTTCTGGACAACACCGAGCTCAGTAACCGCCTTATCATCCTTCTCCTAGCTTTGACGCTCAGAAGGCAAAGACGACGCCTTGAAGGCTTCAAGGCATGGTCGTGTGAACTGCGATCCCTCGGGGCAACCCCGAAATCTACAGCATTAAAGAGCTTCGAGCTGGCGAGCTTCTGCACCTCTGCACCGTCTCGCATCATCTCCCTCAGCTCTCGCCCCTGGGCACCTCAAGAATAGGGACATCTCGCCAGACAACCGTCATGCAAACAGCATGGTAAAGTGTCACTGCACGAGAACACTTGACTCTCTTAACATAACCGTGGGTGCTATAACAGATGAGCGGCAATCTTAGGCTTAATTTTGCTTGCATCATTTTATGCCAGTGCTGAGGGTGGAGCAGGCTGTAGTTTAATAGGTTTATGCAGATGTACTGGTTCATGAAATCGTTTTCCGCGACGTGTGTATGCATGTATGCATGTAGGTGTGTAGGTGTGTGGGTGTGTACATATGTATATGTATACGTATATGTACGTGTACATGTACATGTATATGTATATGTATGTGTATGTGTATGTGCAGTTCCCTCTATGTATGATATTTATGTATCTATGCATGTATGTCTGCATTTATATATATATATATACACATATTTGTATATACATAATTATACCGTCAAACCGATTTCAAGCACGAGGCGTTGTTGAGAAACTTCATGCACATGTTCTAATTGTCGGCATCCCACGACTGACCAATAAACAGATCTTGAACACACATGCAACATCCATTGTACCAGAATCTCAGACTAGTCCAGACAGAACCTTGACGAAACTTAGCGTGAATGCAATACCTAGCAATGCTTACCCATGCCGTATATTCGCAGACCACGCACTTGGCCTCGACCGGAAGTTTCATTCCACAGCATAGCAGCATAGTGCATGTTGAAAAACATGTACTGTCGTCTGCCACAACGTCTGACGATGTTCTGCCAAACAGTACTGCACAGACGGAAGACGGTCATAGGATACTGCGACTGCTAACAACTATATAGCTGCACAGAAACACACACACAAGCACACAAAGAAATACGGTATCTGATCCTTAGCAGCATGTTAAATACTGGGAACCTCTGGAACTATTCCGAAGCATTCCATGCGCTCATCAATGTCAAAGTGTGCAGATCGGGACCCGTCCATGGTACCACTGAAAGACATGCTTGCCACACATTGCGATACAGGTCTTGCGTGAGATGTGGTGTGACTGAGAGCCACACGAAGACTCTTCTTCACAGAGATTCGTGACCTGTGGCAAATTCTGGCTTGGTGTCTATTTTGTTGTCTCGCTTTGCACGAAAGCTCTTCTTGGGACTCGGCAGGCCAACCACGTGGGCCGGGAAGTTCTGCCAGGCAAGATGTAAGGGCTCCCAAGACTGCAGAGCATGCTCTGGTCTGCTCCCCCTGAACCCGACCCGCCCTACCCGCGCAATTCTGGGGCCTGGGAGAGCCGCATTAAGGCAAGAAGGGGAGTCGCTGACGACTGGATCTTGGCGGTGGCCTCTGCAGCTCGCTGCTTGGCTGCTTGACATGCCCACACGACAATGCCAACTACACCACAAACATCTTGAAGGCAGCAAAGCCTAGACCCTGAACCTTAAACCCTATGCTGCAACAAACCCCCTCGACCTCAAAATCCTCAACCCTAAACCCTAAACCGTTTAACCCCTGAAGCCTAGAGATCCTGCAATACTCTAAACCATAACCCATTTAACCCCTGAAGCCTATAGAAACCCTAAACCCTAAACGGCCTAACCCCTGCAGTCCTATAGATCATTTAATGACCTGCAGGCCGACGTCTTTGATCTCCCCGGCTTTCAGGATTTGGTCCGTGTCGCCCCTGAGCTGCAGGCCGATCGCCAGAGTCGGAAGGCACGGTAGCAAAAGGGGCCTTAAGAAATTACAAGAGGGCTCCTTTGAAGGGGATCTATAAGGGCTACTACAAGGTATCCATAATGGTAGCATAATTTAGGGTCTTAATAGTTAGAATAGGGTTTGGTGGTACATTTACCATGGTTATACTTTAAATATATGTTATAAGTATGGTTTCGGGGTATATTAAACTAGAATCATAATCAGAACCCCTTTTTCTGGGGTATATTATACTGTAGTCATAATAAGGCTACCCCAAAATAGATCCAAAATTGTATAGCTGATGATTCAGGCCTCTTGAGTAGTCAGCAGCACGCAGTTTCGTGCTCCCCTACATTTACAGGTTGGCAACGGAGAAAGAAGTGATTCTCATTCAGGCAGTTGAAGTTTCTGTCTTCTGGCACCTGAAAAGGAGTGGATGCACCAGAGTGAAGCTGGCCGTTTCTGTCTGGTGATTACTAGGCAATGGGGGAATGGATCCCTATAGTAGTCCCTATATAATCCCCAATAATAGTCTCCGTAAGGCATTCCCCCATTCCCTACTAAGAACCAGACAGGTATCTTGAGCGAGATGTAGTTCCTCGACTCCGGGTCTCACATCGGCAAAAGTCCAAGGCAGAGAACCCACGGTGGCAGGCAGAGGGTGAATGAATTTGTACATCTATGTGGGCCTTTGTCGGTGTCGTTTTCGATACGCTTCCTGGGCTTTTCAATGCCTACTCAATCGGGGCTGAGCCTGTCCATTACTGCGACTGTTGCGACTTTTGTCCAGAGCTTTTGTGATAGTTTTGAAGAGCTGGTTTCTTGGAAGGGGAAGCACTCTGAAAGGCTTTTGCAAATCTGCTGCGATGTGAGCAGACATTGGGGGAGGCTGTTCGAACGCTAGTGGATGGAAGACAATCCTCACCAAGATGCCCTAGTCATCTTGGTACATAGCATCTTGGTGGAAAAGACTGTGAAGCTGCTCGGAACATGCAGATACGCTGCTTGAAGACTTCTAGCTAACCCCGAGCAAATAGCTCGATAGCAGAACGATGCGCAAACTTTGCCTTCGGCCTCACTCCTTTTCGCAGCCGCTTCGATCTCAGAAGCTCGCCCTACTAGTACAACCTAATCAGCGCTGGCTAAGAGCCAAAGGGTCACTGCCCAGCGCCGGGCAGCTTTTGACGCTTGTATGCCATGCCAAACCTCTCGCGACTGAAACATGACGATCCGACCCAGCAGCGGAGGAACGTCCACCTCGGCTTGAAGATGAGCCGAGTTGTGTTCGACAAAACCCCGTCTCCCTGTGTTGACGTCCTGTTTGTGCCAGGCTCCCGAAACAAAAACCTCGCAACTGCACCTTGGACCTGCCCTCCTGCACCTGGCCGTGGTTGCGGCGCCGTGTTAGTGTTGCTGGTGTCTTGTCCCTTATGTTCGAGGCGAAAGCTGTTCTTATTATTCTTGTCCTGGTCACATCTTTCGTTTTGCAGGTCAAGAAAACCCCTCTTTGATCGGATCCCTCTCTCAGTCTCTCTCTCGCTCTCGCAAAGCGCCGCGTTCCTGACAGGCCGTGCCACGAAGGCCTCGCTGTCGCAAGCTGTGGATGCCGTGGACTCGGAATGGTCGGCAGCGATGCACAGAAGCTCCGGCACGCGGCTGCCAGGTCCAGGCTGCACAGGGGCCACGAGGCTTTGACATTGAAGGACCCGGGTTTCTACTAAGGACATCGTAGCATTATGTTGTAGTTACGACGCACTGGGCACCTGTTTCGAGGGCTCCTTGCGAGTGGCCAAGACCCTCAGTTCACCACCATCGCCAGGCTGCCAGTCTGGGTTCAGGTAGCAGAGGATGGTGAGCATGCGCGTGTTCTCAAACCCTGCACTGCCTCCACTGTATTTGTCCTGATGCGGGACGTAGTGGGAGCCAGGGCCGTAGGTTGCTGCCATAAGCGACGGGAAAAGCCGCATTCCAGGTGCCTGGATACCAGCAGCCTGTGCCGCGCGCTGGAGTGCACCAGGCAAGCCGGAAAGTGCTTCGCCAAGCTCCAAAAGAGCGGGCGCGCGGCGCTGCAGGTCCTGCCGCTCCTCCGGTGACGAGAAGCGAAGCCAGAGGTGCTGAGAGCCAGGGTTGCAAGTGCTCTGCGATTTCTCGGAAAGCGCCCCCTGGGCCGCCAGGGTCTCCAGCTCGGCACGGGCACGCTTGGCCAACTCGGGGCTCACGGCATCCAGCGTCGTGAAGCCCACGCCGCCCAGTGGCCCGGACCCGGCCCAGAGCTCTGCGACGTGCTTCTTCGTGACCACCGCGTCAGCCCAGTCATGCCTCCAGTCTGCGACAGGGATGCTCATCTCTTGGAAAGCGATGGACACGCGTGCAATCTGCAGGATCTCCATGAGGTAGGCAGAGAAAATCTCGGAAAGCTTCGCTTTAAGCTCAGCTTCTCCTGCCAATGCCCAGGTAGCGTCCAGCAGTCGATCCGGGCCCACTGCGATGCTACGGTCTCCAGAAGCGATCGCCTGGGCTCGGAGCAAGAAAAAACGGGTCTAAGTCTACCTGAAGGAGCGCTGCCCTGCCTCTGCCCGCTGCTTGGCCATGGCTGTCAGCACCGCCTCTGCATCTTCACCGAGGGCCAGGGCCAGCAATTCGGCTTGTCGCGGAAGGCCCAGCGCGTCTGCCAGGGCTTGCACAAGGCCCGGTGGTGCACAGCGGAAGCTTTGACGGAGCTCCAGCACGGGCTGTGATAACGAAGGCGGCATACTTAGATCCTCTGCCTGCCGAGTACCTGGCAGCCGCGTCAGATGCCGCTCGACGGCGGTGCCAGCCCGCCGAACGCTCCCAGAATAACTTCTCGGATGCTTGCCTGCTGCAGCTGTCGTGCCATAGCGCCACGCCCAGCACAACGAAGTGCCGGCAAATGCCGTGGCCACTGCATGTAAGCCTGAACCGTGGCAGCTTGCACGTCTTCTCGTGAGAAGGTGCGTGGCGGCTTGGCGACCAGCCACAGCTACAGACAGCAGCGGCACGAGCTGAGGAGCACTTCTCTGTACTGCCATCGCCGACCGTGCAAACTCACTACAGGTGCTGCTCCCGAATTCTCCACGAAGCCTTGAAGCGCAGAGGCCAGAAGCAAAAACACTGTGGTTCCCAACCACGAGACAGGACTTCCACAGACCCCCTCTTGACTTTTGTTCTGGGGCCCGGTCTCCATGTCCTCGAATCCCTCCAGGAGCTTCCCGGCCACCTCGCCTGGCAGAAAGGAAAGGAGCAGAGCTCTCGGGGGCTTTTTGGGCCCCCGGTTGAGCCTTGCAGATCCTCGGAGCTTGCATCAGCCTTCTCGTCCTTGCAGGCGGTTGATGATATAAATCCTGCATTACCCATATAAGGAATATACCATAATTCCCATAGTTTAGGGTCCTTAAGGTAATGCAGGATTTTTATCATCAACAGAGGTCACAGCTCCGGGCAAGAAGACGACGAAAGGGACACGACAGACCACGGAACGCGGTGGCTAGGCTCGACTGGATTCGTCACGTGGAGTGAACATGAACGCGGCTTCTTGTCCATTTTCTGTTCCGGCAGCATGCATCCTGGATGCAAGTTCCCTCAATTGTTGAGGAAAGCACTCAAAACAGTGGATGTTGTTATCTTCCCTGCGTTTCTTCGATTTACGAAGTCCAGAGCGAGCTCCCACTGAGTGGCCTTGATGCAGGCCGTTGCTGCTGAAGCTATCATCACGTCGTCTGGGTTCACTCGGATACCGCCTGCCTCTTCAAGCAGGGCCAGCGCATGCTGCCAGTGCCCTCCCCCGGCACAGGCACCTATTGTTGCTGTGTACGCCATCGCATCCACTTGCCGGATGCCCTTCATCTGCACCAGCAAGTCTAAAGCCTGCAGCCACTGCTCCCCGCTCTCGCAAGCACCGATGGCTGTGCTGTACGTCACGAGGTCCGGAGTCAGCTGGGCTCGCAGCGAAGTGCTGTATAGAGCAAGGACTTTCTGCCATTCCGCGCACGCGGCGAGTTTAGCGTTGCACGCGGAGGTGGCCACACCCTCGATTCTTACGGGAACCGCCAGAGCCTCCTGCCATCGTCCCGCAGCCGCGCAAGAAACGATGACGTAGTTGGTGGACAAATCATCGCCCTGCAGTCCACGATGCTCCAGTGAGCTCAAGAGCCGCAAAGCAGGTACCCAAGTCCATGCACTTGAGGCCGCCATCCCAGGCTCTTGGGAGGAAGCTGCCTGGAGCTTGCAGGAGCCGATCGCCGCTGTGCAGACTCGAGTGTTGGTCTCCAGGGCCATTCGATCCATTCGCTGGAGGAAGGCGGCAGCGTGCTTCCACTTCCCTCCTTTCTCGCATACCCCAACGACGGCGGCAGGCGTGATCTCATCTGGCTGCAAATTCGTACGTGCAAGTAAAGCCCAAAACTCCAGAGCTGGTTGCCATGAGCAGCTGCTGCACGAGCTGATGACCGAATTAAGAACCGCGGTGTTCAAGAGCCCCTGATCACCGAGAGCATGCACAAGGGCCAAGGAGCGGACCCACTGCTCTCCGCAGCCAATGGCACGGAGGCAGATGCTGTATGTATAGGAATCACCCTTCAACGAACTCCGCGACAGCGACTCGAGCAAGGCGGCAGCTATCTGCCACTCTGCACTCTCCACGCTCGCATTCATGACGCAATTGTAGGCGAAAAGGTCTGCATGCAAACGGCACAACGGCATGTGACCCAGAAGGGCCAAAGCCTGCTGCCACTGAGCTCCTTGAGCACAAGACTGGATGGCAGCTGTGTGTGCAATAACGTCTGGCTGCAGACCTGAAGGTGCAAGCTCCATCAGCACAGCCAGAGCTTGCATCCACTTACTTCCTGCACCGCAAGCGGCGATGGCAGCCGTGTACGTGCGCACATCAGCTTCGATCTGCGTCCGTCGCATATCTGCAAGCAGGTCGAGCGTTGCTTGCCACAGACCCTTCTTGCCGCAGGCACCAATGGCAGAGCTGTACGTGAATTTGTCGCTGCTTTGCCTAACTGCTTCCAGCTTCTGGAGGAGCGCCACTGCCTGTTGCCACTGGCTGCTCTTTTCCAGGGCGGAGGCTGCAGCATTGTAGGCGATCAGGTCGACCTGCACTGAGCTAGCTAGCGCTTGACTCAGCAATTCCAGTGTAAGCTGCCACTGTCTTCCCAGTCCACAGGTTCGCATGGCGGCCGTGTACACCGTCACGTCCTTCTGCACGGCCTGAGCATCAAGGCTCGTCAGCAAAGCCAACGACAGGGCCCACTTGGCGCTGCGACCGCACGCTTGAATAACAGCACCATACGCTTTGGATCTTGTTCGCGCGGCAAGATTATCCAAGCGAGACAGGAGCAGCAAACCGCGCTGCCACTCTTTGGCCCCATTCGGCCTCAGGGACTCCGAGTTAAAGGAGGAGTCGGCCGCCGACACCTTCGTGTACTCCGTAGGCACCGAGACCATGGGGGCTCCCGCATGAGCGGAAAACTGTGAGCCGATTTTGGCTCTGCGGCGGATGCAACTTGAAGATTCCTACGCCTCGTTCTCTCCTGTTCGGACACGACCGCCGAATTCAAACCCGAAAGGGTGAGCCGTGGCAAAGTCCTCCTTGTCGCCCTTGTCGTCTTCCTGCAAGGGTCGAGCACTTGTTCTGCTTTTCCTGGTAAGATTTTTGGCAGCAAGATGGCCATAAGTCTAAGCTTGCAGTGATCTGAACCCTCCTCTCTTCTCGAAACACCTAACAGACACACATTGCGCAGGCTCGGCACCTCCGCGTGCGTCTTGTACCTCAGCAATCGTTCACGGGGCTGGCCCTTGCCTTCCTTGGCACCTTCGGGGCCAAAAGCTGGTTCAGCGAAAAGCTGACCCGAAGTTCTGAACAGCGTTTTGCGGGAACATGTGACGGCAGAGAACCCCGGAAAGGGACGCCTGAAACATCACAAGCCCGACTCTGAGCTTCCAGCTCGCTGCTCTTGATGGCCAGCTCGAAGCCGTACCTGCCGGCTACTGCTCGCCAGACGGTGGAGGGCTTGGGGACTTCAGGGTCTCCGGAGCTTCGGGACTCCAGCGTCGTTTCAGAAATTTCCGGGAAAAGTTTCGAAGTTTCAGGGCGCCGGAAGGGCGAACTTCGAAAGCTCGGCGCTTCCCATGAACCCCAAACCCTAAACCCTGAACCCCAAACCCTGAACCCTAAACCCCGCAACCCTTAACCCCAAACCCCAAAGCCTAAACTCTAAATCCTAGACGCTTATTCCTTAACCCCAAACCTTAAACCCCAAGCCCCCCCTTAGCAACCCCCGGGGGCACCCTGTGAGGAGGTCGGCTCCCGTGTCCTCGCCCAGCGGGCCGTCCGCGTGCCTGTGCCAAGACACTTTGGATTTGGGGGTTACCACTTAAAAAAGGATTATCGTGTTCTCTTTAACGGGTTCTTAGGGTTTTGTAGAATTTTTGTGGTTCCCCTTGAAGTGTGCTTAGGGCATGTGTGGTTTTCTAGGCAACATTCTAGGGCTCCCCTTCCAAGACCTGAGGCTTTTGGGGGTTCCATTTTCAGGTTCTGGCGTTAGAGGATTTTAGGGTTCTCTGTCAAGGGACTCCTAGGACTTTATATAGAGGAATTTGGGGTTCCAGTCAAAAGGTTCTTTACGGGCCTTAACGAAATTCTAGGGTTCCCTTTCAAGCTCCTCGGGCTTTAGAGGATTATGGGGTTTCCTTTTTCAGGGTATCTTAGGGCTTTAGAGGATTGTAGCTTCCCTTTGAAGGGGCGACCCCGTGCAAGGGCTCTAAAAGGGCATTACAGGACAATAGGGTTCCCTTTAAAGGGGTTCTTAGGATAATAGGCAAATTCTAGGGTTCCCTTTAAAGGGGTTCTTAGGATTATACAGGCAAATTCTAGGTTTCCCTTTGAAGGGGTCTCGTAAGGGCCTTTTGGTGTCGGGACAGCTCAGTTGCTCCTCGATTGATGCTGGGCTCATCCTTCATCCACGGAAGCGATAGAGCCAACCCGTTCGCGTCCGGGGAAGAAATCACAAGACAACCCTGGTTTAGGGAAGTCCCTCTTCGACTTTCCAGATGCTGCTCGATCGGCCTAAAGATGACCTGCCATGTCGAAGTGGCTGGCAGTTGCGCGACCTGCGCTCGGCAGGCACATGTGTGGTAAAGCTCCTCAGCCTCAGCCGGACTGTCTCCTACCAAGGCGAGGGTTTCGATTCAAAGCATTGCACGACCTCACTCGGCCTCATTAGCTCGGCTCGCGCAGATCGACCTCTTTTTCGGAAGGCGGCTCTCCCCATAGCTCAGCCAGCTCACCCCGGATGGCGGCAAGCAAAGAAACGCAACCTCGGCACCAAAAGAACTTCAAGCGTCGGGGTTTGCAGACTTAGTCTTAAAGACTTCGGCCTATGTCGAAGCCTGCAGCCTTTCGCCAGATCGCGATACTCCGTCCACTCGTACTTGCACCGCTGGCCCCCTTTTGGCCTGCGTGTCGCTGAGGCCGCGGGCCCAGCATCGCAGGCACCAAGAGGGCCAAGGCCTGACCGAAGAGAAGGTCGAACCGATTCTCAAGCTTGGATCAGCAGAAGCTCTGGGGGCCGTCAACTCGAGAAAATCAGGAAATACTTCGACGGGCACTGCAAGGTTCCTCTCCGGGCTTCCTGCTGGCAGGCCCGGCAGATTGAAGCCGTACACGGAAGCCTCACAGCCGGCTGACCTCTGACGGCCCAAGATTGAAGGAGTTGTCACCAGCAGTTGCATGGTGGGGTATTAGGCCTAGGATTGGGCTCCAAGATGCGGGACTTAGAACGGGGTTGACCGATGACTACTTGGGGTGGTGCGCAGTGCCGGGATGACGAATTTAAACCTGCAGATTCTCCAGTGCCAGTGGGTGCAGCAGTGCCTAGCACAGGAGTCCTAGGAATCTTGGCAGGACTTGTCCAGTGAGGCAGGCGGCCCAAGCACGTAGCCCAGGAGCGCAGCCATGAAATACCCGGGCCTGGCATTTTTCGAGTCTCAGCTTCATTTGCAGATGCTCAGGGCCACGCCGCCTGCTTCCGGACTCACTTTGAAGATCTCGGCGCAGTGCCTTGGCTTATGCTGTTGTGATCGTTTACGTGTCGGGTTCAGGGAATACCATGCCAATGCCTCTGAGCCCGTCGCCCAACCTGCAAGCACCGCCGGAAACACGACGTCGCCAAGGCCCAAAACATCCTCCAAACTTCTTAGAGGATCAACCCGAAGGCAGAAGGCCGTGCAGCTGAGGGCCAGTCGCTGGGGCGGCTGCCTAAGACCACCTCAGCTTCTTGTAGTAGATTTTCATCTAGTTGGGTTCTTGCAGAATATCCAAGCAAAATGAAAGACTGTTCCGCGAGACAGTATAGTATGTGTCTGAGGGTTTACGAAAACACGTGTTCTAGTGCGTCCTCTAGTTTGTTAAAGTAGATTTTCGAATGCGCATGCTTTACTATGACACTGTTTCATAAGTAAAACTGTATTGTCCATCATCGTTTGTGGTACTGCTGCTCATGTATCGTACATTCGGAGTGCTTGTTAAAGGATTAACTGAAGTTCCCATTATGAGAACCACAGTCTTTACTATAGATCCCTATTATGGTAACTTGAACTAACTTCCTCAACAAGAACCCAGTATTTCCTACATGTCTTAGTATATAACAACTATAATCAGGAACCCCCAAAATAGTATGGCCTATCTTTCATGCTCCCATAATTGGCCAAAAGCTCCAGTGGTTGCATTCCCACATCGAGGGCCCGGCCTCGAGAAGGCCCGGCCTCTCCAGAACAGCCCAGAAATTAGGGTTCCGGCTTCGGGACTTTAGGGGCTTAGGACTTTAGGGCTTAGGGGTTTAGGGCTTAGGGGTTTTAGGGTTTAGGGGTTTAGGGTCTGGGGGTTTAGGGTTTAGGCTTCAAAGCTCCCCTGCTCTACGTTTCCTCCGCGCTCGGAGCGTGAAAGTCTTTCTCAGAAAACCTCCTCCACCATCTCGTCCTTCTCTTCCGACTGAGTGGTGGCCGACCCCCGCCTTGGGCGGAAGGAGGCGGAACCGAGCCCGAAGCTCAAGCCGTAACTGTTCGTGAAGCAGTTCGCAAACTCGTCTCTCTCATCATCCCGGTCCTGAGAATGACGACTTCGGCCCGAAAATCCCACTACTCTTTACGGGGTCGTCTTGGGGTGTGTCCCGTCGCGTGGCTCTCTGGGCATCCACCCGAGGGGAAGACTGAACGCAACCGGGAACCCCAAACCTGTACCAAGTACGTTCTATTTCCTGGGAACGTAGGGCATGGACCATAGGCAGGAATAGGTGTTCCAAAGCTCATGTCTGAACATAGCTTGAGTGCTATACTGACACATCGGACATGAAGACTATTCCAAAGCTCAAGCGAAAATGATCGCTTAATGTGGACTTTCACGAAGTCGCATCTCTCCATTTCACCCTCGCCTTCAACTCCAAACTTGCAGCAGGCACGGGGCGAGCTTAATGTCGTAATCAGTGCACGATTCGCCTTAAACCGGTGCCCATTTCCTCATTTCCTCACTGTATATTTGCCTCAGGTTCGTGCATACTTCCTCTGCCTCTGCCGGGGCAGAGTCGGAACCTAAGAACAGGCAATGTTGACACCTGAAACATATTGACCTCTTGCATGCTACCGCCTGTGCACACGGCTTCCACGCCACGATCTTGCGCGAACATGGTCAAATGACGCGATGGGGTTCCCAACGGCTATATTCCCAAAAGCCCTCTATTGATGTGAATCCCTGCCCGGGGTCCTTCTCAAAAAGGATGGAGGCGCAGCGCGCAGCCAGGGGCTGAGAGTCCCCGTCTTGCAGCCGCTGCGCAATCTGCGCGACGCGTAGGTCCAGCTCCATCGCCGAGGACGAGTGAGGGGTGAACAAGAGTGCCACCTCCTGGAAAACTGCCTTTATGATCCGGAAGTAGGAAGCCGTGTCGCCATTTTCGATGCCAGTGCTCGCGATCTCCCGAAAGGAGGACAAAGATGGAAACTGGAAGTCGTCGGTAACCAGAATTGGCAGAACCGCGCAGAAGGTCAAATAACTTGCCTGCGTCAGCCACTCGGCGATCTGCTTGGAAGCAAGGCCGCCATCACTGCAAATGAGGACGGCACAGACCGAATCAACTGGAATTGGCTCAGCCTTTGTTAGTACTGCAAGCTTGAGACTTGAGGAGCCTATTAGAAGCGGGGCGAGCAGGTCGTACAAGACCAGAGCCGTGGCGACCGCTTCCATGTCATCGGGGTCCGCGAGGATCACTCCATCCACATCCTGGTCCTTGGAGCCCTGACAAATGCTGGTGCCTGCGGTTTGGGTAAGGCTTGCTACGACCTCATCGATGCCCTCGGCACTGACCACATTCAGTTCCAATGTTTCCAGTGTCCAGAGCCACTTCAAAGTATCGTTAACTTCTGGAAGTCCGATTCCCAAGCTGGACAAGTCTCTGATGTCACCCACGGCATTAGCGTAGTGCCTTCTGAAGGACTCGTCGGGCATGGAGAAACCCGGAAGTGTGATGAGCAGGCTTGGTACACTTTGCTGTCTTGCTGTCACCATTTCACCAACACACCACCTCAGGTGTCGCTGAGGTACCAAAACTAATGTCCGATTCTCTCTTCTACAGTGCTCCCATGTTCAACAACTCTTACATGCTTTGCAAGAACAAGGTGCTTGGCTGATTTGGCGCCCTCGTGTTTCGACAATTCCGGAATCCCAGAACATGCTGAAATTTGTTGGGCCCGTCATTATGGTTGGGCCACGGACGGTTTTTGTCAGAAAGGATTCGGACTAGAACATGCAATTATGCTTGGGTCATGGGTGCTCTCCTTGCAGAAAAAGGCGCGAAAGTCCAAAACCAAGGCACAAACAGAAAAGCAAAAAAAAAAAGTGAAAAAGGGAGTTCCAGCATAAAACGTGAACAAGAACGTACACAAGTCGAGGTTCGGACACGAAACGAGCCAAAAAAACAAAAGCAAGCAAAATCAGCATAGTCACTCCAAAAACACCTGCTGCAAAAGCCGAAGGCAGCAAAGACTTATCGCGCAGACCCAAAAGCAAAGGAGGCAAGGGGTAGGGGCGGCAGCTCAGTGGCAAGAACAACCGAGCCACTTCCGTGACAGAACTGCAGGGCTTCCGAGAATGACGACTTTCTCCACATCGTGAGCCACATGGTTGAAGAGCTTCGAGAGGTCCTTGAGGTCGTCTGAATCAATGAAGGTCTTGAACTTCGATGCACGATGCTGAAGCTCAATTTTGAGCAGGCGGGCCAAGCTGCCTGCTGCCTGCTTGTGATGGCAGAGAAAGAATGAATAGCGCTTGTGTGTCTTTGCAATGAGGTGTCTCACGAGGCCGTACAAACTCACGAGCACGAGCAACATGGCGACGAGCACGGCGATGACCACGCATGCCAGCATGGAGCTGTAGCTGTCTGCAGAAGGGACGAACAGGGCACCGATGTCCAGGATGGTGAGCGCACCGCCATGCATCAGGAGGTCCAGGTGGGTGCTCAAACGAACACGCCAGGGCTTTACATAAGCAGAGCAACACAAGCTGAGGTAAAGGATAAAGTTCATGGAAAGCATCCTAGCCGTCTCGGAGGGCAGTAAAGGGCAAAGTACGATCATCAAGTTGCGGAACAAGAAGACAACCGCAAAGCCTGGGTTCTTGTTAAGGGCTATCTAAGTTATCACAATAAAGAAACCATATGATTTCGTATAGATTCCTATTGTGGTAACTTACATCAGATTTCCTTAACAAGAACCCAGAAGCCCTGAGCTCCAGGTCGAAAACGCATGGCCAAGAAGGACCAGGCCCGCACAAAGTTGGCATCCGCAGCCCTTACCTTCCGAGGGAACTCGATGACAATCACCCAGGCACACACCGACAAGAAGGCTAAGGGCGCCAAAAGGGCAAATGCCCCGTACAAGCACATCTGCAGATGAATTCCTTGCCCATCACAGAAAACATCGGGGTAGTCATCGATGGTGTACAGGCCATTCGGATGCTCCTTGCATCGAAAAGGTCGGAGCAGCAGCGAACAAGCGGCAATGAAGAAGAGCACTGCCAGAAATCCCAGGGAACGTCCAAACAGGCGAAGGGGTACCTCCTTGCC